CACTTCAAGGCGTACAGTTTCCTCGTGGGGAGAGCTCTGGATTGGAGGATGGTCTCAACAACCTCGGTTGAGAGACCAGAAGCTACGAGTTGTGCCCCCTCAGGGGCCACACCCACAACTTATACCCTCCGCCTGTGAGAGGAGATCTCTCCTGATGGGATGATGACCCTGGGGTGAAGCATCCATTCCCCGGGCCTCGGCTCCTGTCTCGACAGGATGTCTGCTCCCAAATTGAGATGCCCAGGAATGTAAACTGCTCTCAGCGAGAGAAGTTTGCCCTGGGACCACACAAGGATCTGGTACGCTAGTCTGTACAAACGGCGTGAGCGCAGACCTCCCTGGTGGTTGATGTAAGAGACCACCGCTGTGTTGTCGGTGCGCACCAACACATGGTGACCTCTTAGGTCTGGGAGGAAGTGCATGAAGCACGGCCCGCATCTCCAGGCAGCAGTTCATATGACGTAGATCTAAAATGGGACGCAACCCCCCATCCTTCTTCGGACCGGCTGTAGAACCCGGACTGCCTCAAATGAGGAGGGACCACCTCGATGGCCTCCTTCCTCAAAAGAGTAACTACTTCTTGTTCCATGACCAGAGCCTGCTCTGGGCGGTGAGGCCACGCTCTGTTTTTCTGATTTTGTGCATTGCTGACCGCCTCAACCTCCTCAGAGGAAGAGAGGTAAACACCTGCTCTCACTCGAGAAAATTTATTTATTTTAACACTAAATAAGACTCACAAACAGATATCAGACTGACACACACACACAGAGCGCTTGCTGAATGACAAAATCTGACGCTGGTCTCACCGCACGTGCTTTTATAGCTTCCTGGTCATTACGTCACCCGCCGTGACGTCTCGCCCATCTATTGGTCTGATTACACACGAGGTTCAGAGCCCGTCACGCTGAAGGGCGTTCCCCTAGCGTTTCCTACGCAGCTCGAGTTCCTGAAGAGGAAACTACAGTCACTTTTCATTATGAGAATACCAGTAATGTTGTTTTTTGGCATCTGTGTTTGAGGACATCTTACAGTGTAAACACAAAGTCTAGACCTATTACAAATTAGCATGCAAATAGTTGAAAAAAGAACACCAATTGCAAATAAGTCTGCATGTTGTAGCTGTGGTCAAGGATGCAGCTGAACAGAGAATTTCAAATTTTTTAATGTCAAGGACAACCAAATATAAAATCAGCTATATATATTTATGTATAAAGAATCATTTACACTATGTGAGGAAAAATTATTTTTTATATTTTCATAGCACTAAAGCCAAAAAAAATATATATATTATCTGGAAAATGTGAACATTTTGCTAAATTATGGACCCCAGTTTGGGGGGGGAAATGCTGACTGCATTGCTGTCCTTTACATAAACTAAAAAGTTTCGAGTTGGCAAGATTTTTTAATGTTTTTGAAAGTTTGTTATTTTCACCAAGGCTGCATTTATTTTATTAAAAGTACATTATTGTGAAATATTTTTACAATTTAAAGTTACTATTTTAACTTATTTTAAAATATATTTATTCCTGTGATGGCAATCCTGAATTTTCAGAAGTAATTTTTTCAGGACATTATAAATGTCTGTGTTTGATCAATTTAATGCATTCTTGCTGAATAAAAGTATTAATTTCTTTCAAAAAGAAAAAAAATGTTCTGACCCAAAACTTTTGAATGGTAGGGTCACATTCATTCATTCATTTAATTTTTCTTGCTATTTTCAGATTTTTTGAGAGCTTTGCCCCTTTACAGAAAGGCATGAGTGTGGGTCAGATAGCTCTCGTCAACAACTTCAAACGGAAGAGGCCGTCAGAATTCAGTCCATCATGCTCTTTCACTGATATTCCAAAGGTAATCTTTCAGATCTCACTGTAGTCTAATGGAAATTAGTAAAGTTCACATAGTGATACCAAAGACAGAATATTAAATCAATGTGCGTTCAGCAGGTGGTAGCTCCTCACAAGTCTGCAGATGGAATGCAAAAAAGGATGAAGACGATGAACGTCGACAGCTGCGCCTTCTCTGTCAGAAAGTCTCTCAGCACAAGTGTGCTAACAGGTACATCAGCTCTCTTAAACATCTTGTTTTCTAGTTTTTCTATACTGAAATTTACACACTCCTTTGTTCCGTTTTGACAGATACATTTCCATGTATGCAAAGTGGATTGGTGGCTCTTCACGGCTGCAGTCAGTCTCTCAAAGGAAGCTCAGAGGATCTCAAACAGCATTTCCCAGAGTCATTCATCTCTCCCAGTAACAGACAATACCACATGATGCCTCCACACAAACACACAGGTCAGTCTCTAGCCTTTCTAATACGCTGATTTGGTACACAGGCAACATTTCTTAATATTGTTGAAAACATTGTTCCGCTTAATATTTTTGACTATTTCAAGATTCTTTGATGAATAGAAAGTGAAAATGAACATTATTGAAGTCTTTTCTGTCAATTTTGATCAACTTAATATGGCCTTGTCAAAAATCTTCCGATGTGTCTCGCGAGAACGTGATGATATCCTCACGCATACCTTTCAGATATATTTGCATTACACTGGCTCGTTCACAAGTGGTGGTATGTAAGATATTTTATGTTACATCAGGCAAGTGGCCGCATGATAAGCAGGAAAATTACGCAGTGTAGTCTTTATCCAGTCATAAAAACAGAATTCACAGTTTAACGCTGAATGTCACGGAATTTGTCAAATTTTGAATGAATTAATCAAAAGTAGGTCATTACACTTAAATCAAATCACGATATGGACTAGTATCTGTAAATATTAAGCCTCAAAAGTCGATTTAAATATGAATCCTGCATGTTCTGCCTGTCTCTGTTGAATGGCGCAGACGCGCGGTTTCATTTACTACACACATACTGAAGCGCGCGTGACACTCAGCATCTGCCGTCTCACTTGAACACATGAACAACATCTCCAGAACTGCTCTGAGTCACTTCATGAGCATTTTAGAGTTTGAGTAAAACTAGCGTCACATACACAGAACCTTAAAGGTATTCACGGCAACCCGTCAAAATAAAAGTCTGGTTTGATTTGAAGGCATTGTGCCTATAACTATTTTTCAGTAGAATGTACATAGCCTACTACTACTACTAAAATCAAACAAAGATTATTTTTTAAGGAATAATCACACAAAACATTTCTTCCATGTTTTAATTTTAATAGTAAATCCCCTTTGTTTGCCAAAAAATCTTTCAATAATGAAAAGATAAATGATCAATTAAATTAATATTTTATACCTTCATTTGATAACCAGAAAAATGTAAATACACAACACAGAATTTCTGAGAGAAAAAAAATTCATAAGGCTACTTTAAGAAAAAAAATGAATAAATTAAGTTGTTTTATGCATTCAAATAATTAGACATGCTAAAACACAGAATTTGGTAACAAATAAATAATATGGTGAGAAAAAATAAAACATTTCATAGGGCCCTAAACATGTAATTTTTGTTAAACTTTTAATAAATTGATGTGAAAATGTATAAGTTTAATGATTTTAATTAGACATGCTTTTTAATTAATAAAATTTAATTGAACTATTAAAAAGGAGTCGAGAAAAATTAAAATGGAAAAAACAGAATTTGGAAAAAAATTAAACGCAATTTAGGAAAAAATCAAATGGATTTTATAGGGCCCTAACTATCCCTCAGCCTTGCCGCGCCCCCCCCCAGTTTGGGAACCACTACTTTATTCTTTTAAATTTATACATTAATCGTGTTTATTATATCTTTTTTTTATTAAAGTGGAAATCAGTTTACTAAATAATGTAAACTTGACTGACTGCTTCACGTCCACTTTAAAGGGATATGTTGTTTATTATTTATTTTTATTTATACTATTTATAATTTTTGTGCAATTACTTGCCTGTCCGTTGAGTTTGTGGCAAAACATTTTGCAGTGTTTACATGTTGTTTATTACTGCATAAAATTTATTAAAATAGATGTTTAATTTCATAAAGTACAAGTTGATTTCAAAATGCACCTACAGTTTTGCATTTAGTGTTTTTCAGTTGAATAAAAGACTATTTCTCCCTATATATTTCATCATTGAGGAATTCTTTTAAAAAGTCTAAAAATCTCGTCTCGTGGGATAAGTGTCCCGTCACACCCCTAGTAGTGCATATTCCAGATCTTCTGAAGTCACACAATAGTTTCCAGAACATAACTGGATCAAATGACTCTTTCTCTATGTGACATTTAGGTTACAGGTCTCTTTTATTTTTGACAGGCATGATAAGTCAACTGTTGGGCCCATCGTTTGACTCTTACTGTCTGCCAGAGCTGACACGATATGACTGTGAGGTAAACGTGCCTCTACAGGGAAACCTGCATCTGCTTCAGGGCAGTGACCTCCTGAGAGCTTTGGACCAGAGCACGTAGACACAGAGCTTCTTCAGTGATCCATTCACCCATCTTTGCCTATATATGCTGTTGTCTTTTACGCATGTATCGTCAGCCTTTATTTGGACGTATTTGTACATTTTCCTTTAAGACCTGTGTAATGTTTTAATATGTATTTGGAAAATCTGATTGTTACTTGTTTAAAATGTGTTCAGGTGTACCACATTCTGTGCCATCTCAAACTATCTAATATTGTCCTGTGCCTTCAGATGCTAAGCGTTCTTAACATTTATGGTCAGATTTACCACTGTTGCAAAGTTATATCTCAACTAACTAGAATATATACAATATACAATAATATATATGTAGTTTAAATGGTAGTTTTATTTGTAAGTTATTCATTCAGCTTGGAATACAACTCCTGTGTTTGCATAAATCAACGACGGTTAACTGTTTTGCCAATCTATTGCCTTAAATATTTGCTTCGACATTGTACCAGCAACAAATGTGGCATAAAACTGTGTAGCTCAGAAACATATCTGTTTTCCCATTTAGAATTGCAGTATTGTAATCTGTTTCACAAAGCCGTTTGCACCACGCTCTTTCGTCACTTGATCTTTTATTTTGGTGCGTCAGTCTATTAAATTACTTAGTATATGAAACCATGATCCGCACTCGCAAAAACACAAACGCACTCTTCTTTTTTCATTTTATTATACATTTATCACCATTTTTGCGAGTGCGGATCATGGTATTGTAATCTGTTCCTCTATTCTTTTCACAATCATGACAAATGCTGTATTAAATGTATAGTTTCTGTCATCTAAAGCACTTTATTTTAAAAGATGCAAATAGAAGACCAAACTGAAAAGCCCCAGTGTAGTGGTATGTCTTGGCCATCTTCTCAGGCCCATCTAACACTAACCATTGTCTAAAATAACTCCCATCTTCTTTCTTTGAAAACTGAACTCTAAATTTGCATTTTATTTTCTCATACAAACATATCTATTGTGTCTACATTAGATGAGGTCTCTGTAGATCTCTGTAACACATAAAAATGTTCGTATTTGGTGTTCAGAAGTGCCTTGGTACTCGTACAGTAGATAGAGATGAATCTGTAGCTTTTTCTTTCACAGTACATATCTAATATATATATATATATATATATATATATGGTAGTTTAAGGTTATTCGATTTTGTATTAAATTTTGTGATGTGTATGACCTTCTCGTGATACTCTGGGGTTTCTGTGTGTTTCTTAACAAAATATATTAAGCTAATTTTATCGTATATCTTTGAGAGAGTCTATGATTGTTTATTCTCAGGATAGTGGCTTAAAGTAACAAGCATTTGTATTCCAGTCTTTCTTTGTAGCATTAAAAGATATGAAAGATTGCATTATATCTAAAAGAAATTAAAACGTAAATGGTGCTATTTACAAATCATTCTCATCTTATTCTTCCCATGACCCTCCACTTAACTTAATGCAAGGTTGTTGTTGTTTTTTTGCTTTGTTGTTAAAAATAATAGGCTGGATAATGAACCAGGTCAGTGAACCTTATATGAGTAGAATTATAATTAAATTAGTGATTATTAAATTGTAGCAAATTGGTGCAGGATAATCCTCTGTAATGCAATTCACACCAGAAAATTTACATTGCACCTTATGATTAATTACTCTGGCTTATGGGAGTTCAAGAATGTTAAGTAAGTCAAAAGGATCAGCAGGAGATGCAGAAAATGAACTTGTTTTTAATGATATAATTAAGCTACAGGAACATTCTGATCCTGGCCTCTGTATCCCACAAGGCCATAATACTGCTGGCCGCAAACAAATCTGTAGTGCCAAAACATACAAATGACCATAAAAGGAATAAATATTTAAACACTTCCTATCAAATGCTTCGAGGGAACCTCAGAGCATTGATAAAACTAAAATATACAGGCTACATGAACGTTAGGTTTTCATACATGGATCAAGGTGGGAATTCAATGGGATAATCTGAGTAAAAGATGTAAGATGTCATGGGAATCCCTTTTCTTAAAAAAAATATTTTTATGCCCGATTACCTCAGAAAGGTAACAGCATGCTCATGCTGCCACAGAAAATTCAGGACAAATGGATTTGGATGTGTGGAACTGGACGCATAATGATTTCTCATACAGATCTTTTATAGCTATGCTACACCCACATAAGATAAGAGAGATATTCTCTTCAGAAATCAAAGAATTGCAATCACTTGTAGAAATAAAAAAAAAAAAAGATGGAATTTGATGACGATTGTTTTTTTTTTATACTTCCAGCTATGCTTCAATCACAAAAGAAGGCGCTTCGAGGGAACCTCAGAGCATTGATAAAACTAAAATATACAGGCTACATGAATGTTAGGTTTTCATACATGGATCAAGGTGGGAATTCAATGGGATAATCTGAGTAAAAGATGTAAGTAAGATGTCATGGGAATCCCTTTTCTTAAAAAAAATATTTTTATGCCCGATTACCTCAGAAAGGTAACAGCATGCTCATGCTGCCACAGAAAATTCAGGACAAATGGATTTGGATGTGTGGAACTGGACGCATAATGATTTCTCATACAGATCTTTTATAGCTATGCTACACCCACATAAGATAAGAGAGATATTCTCTTCAGAAATCAAAGAATTGCAATCACTTGTAGCAATGAAACAAAAAAAAGAGTGAATTTGATGACGATTGTTTTTTTTTTATACTTCCAGCTATGCTTCAATCACAAAAGAAGGCATTGTGTTGGAAAAAAGAATAGAAATATTATCATAATTTTTAGACCAAGATACAGTCTGACTGCAAGTAAATTGGCACACTTTCATAAAGGAAGTGTCTACAATGTGATGAGGTAAAATGTGAGTTATTTTGTTTAATATTTCCCATACAAAGTCAGTAATATGTATCCAGTAATTGTTCCAGTGTGACAATAGATGTTTCATAAACTAAATCATGTCACTGATGCAATTGGTTGCTAGATTGGGGTCAAACGTAAATGTTATGTAACTAGTTCAATGCGATTCCTAGAAATCTTTCTAGCTATTAATCGAAATAATCTGGGTAAACCAGGCAATTCCTTTACATTTATATAAACTCCTTGCCATATATAAACTCTTAAACACCATCATTTTCTCTGCAATTAGATTAAATTGCTTTAAAGCTTGAGCCATCGCCATGAATATACAGTTTAAAGGTAAACATGTATTTTTCTACTCCTTTTTATGTTTCCTCTAATAGTTTAACATTTGTATTACAATGTTATGGATTTCTTCTCTTACAACAACATTTGGACTCAGCTTACAGCTGAATTGATTTTTTTATATACCAGCTTATCATATGCATATGAGGACTATATAAAGTCATAAATAAGATTTTATGGTTATTTATACATCTCCAGATGTAACAATAAATAAATATATAGTAATATTTTTTATACGTGCAGCTTCATGCACACTTTCTACAGTAGAGGTACATTTTGTGTTTTATCACGGTAAATGTTTAAAATCAATTATAGTTATTTTGTGTTTATTTGTTAAAGTGCTGCCTGCTCACATGAAACTTGTATCTAAGTGCATATGTAAAAAATAACAGAAGTGAGACTGTTTGTCAATCATGCTTATTTTTGCTATCCAAATAAGCTGCTTTTTCTCACGAAGGATGTGGATTGAAGCCAAGCAGCCTTATTACCAACGGGATCACAGACATCTTCAAGAGCCTCCCATAATGCACAGGGTCTCAGTGGCAGATCGTAATTTTCCATGGAGAAAGGAAACACA